ACTGTCTCCTGGTACCCAATTCTAATTCCAGTCCCACTTTCTGCTCTCTACCCACTGGACATCCAGTGATATCCTGCCAAGCCACCTGGCCAACACTGTAGTGGCTCTCCACTGCCTTGCATGAATTTTTGCTCCTGCTCTCGCCCAACCAGACCACAGCAGAGGCCTTGCTCTGTCTCTCATCCCTGAACAGCAGAAAACACCGACACCCCCCCGAGCCCCTGCTGTTGCTCAGCTCCAAGCCCTTCAGCTCTCACCACTGTCTTGTAGTGAAATACTAATCAAAGCAGGGTGAGGGCTCAAGACTATTGATTGCCTGAGGCTGATTATTAGTCCAGTTTCACAGTCTTCCATAACTCAAGCAGGAGAAGGCAAGAGATGAGCGCAGATCTCTGCGCAGGGATGAGCACACAAACACGCTGACATGCACGCCTTATAACCACTTTGATTTTTTTCCCCAAGTCGATATCTCACCATGGGGCACCAGTTATCACCATTCACCTCTCACCTTCAACCTGTGAGACACCTGTAGGCGTACTGCACGGCTTACCAGGCAAACAGGTTGGCTTGTGGGTGGATGTCGAGGGCTGTTAAGCCTTTCACAGTCTGCAGCACGTTCACAGAGTCTGGACTCCGAGGCTCAAAGAAGCGGACATCCCCATTGACGCTGCGTCAGAGAGAACAGATAGGTCAGAGCTTCAGATATGTTATGTTATTACATGTTACTGTTATTGCTATTGTGTAACTGTCTATTTTCTTATCTTCTGTCCTATTTATATACTGCACCTGAGTGACTCGTGAGAAACACTTTTCATTATACTATGCACCTGTGTAAGTTTAATGACAATAAAGTTGAATTGAATTGAATGTGTTCAGCACCAGGCCACCAGTGGTGCACCACTCTAGTCAAGCTTTACTCTTCTGCAGGCAGCGCATAATGCTGAACGCTGAAAACCCAACTTTAAAAAACACAGTGCACCACACCTGGCACATTTGCAAAGGCTGGCTTCGGTTCTCATTGCTCCCCATCATCACAAAGCTTGATCACAGCAAAACTAGCCTCAATCAAATGCAATGTTTGCAAAAGACAAAAGATAATTAAGGCACAGCGCCAGCTTGCTCACATCCGAGTTCACTCGTCATGTGTCAAGAACTGGCAGCACAGACCATGCCTCCTTTTGCATTAGGCTCAGAGCTTCTCCAGCCCCCACATAGACTGTACATCTAATGAACCCCCACTGCCAGCTTCACTGGGGATATCAGCAAAGACTGGGGCCGCCGCAAAAGCCATGATCAAAGGGCTGCTGTCACTTAGCCCAGAGTCCGACACTGCTCAAGATCCTCAAAGGGAGTTTTAATCGGTTTTACCTTTTAATTCAACACGAGCGGAGACAAAAGTGATGTCTGGGCTCTGTAATGAAGAGCGAGTGGGCTCCTGCCCCTGTATCGCTCGACTCTGCTCTCGGTGCATAAACGTTCAAACAACGGGGAGAGGAAATAAATTAAGGAATAATAACAACAGACCGTAAAGCTGTTTGAAGGCTTCTAGTGTCTAATCACGTCTTACGAACCCCCTCGCTTGGCAACACAAATATTTAATGTGTCTTTTTATGCCAGCATTGATGGTCCGTATAAATTATAAGCAAAATAAAACAAAGTCTCTCACGAGAGCTCTCGGAGCACTCACATCTCGTGGGGGACCCCCATGAAGAAGTGAAAATTAACGAGCTGCAGATGAATAAATAATGTGACAAAAGAAAGCAGGGGAACTAGCTCTCTTCTCTGAGTTGCTGCACCGTCAGGGAGTCAATAAAGGCCTGCTGCAGCTGTTAAATACACTGTCAGGAGTGCACTGGCCTGACAGCCCTGCAGAACCAGGAGCCCGGAGCTGGGCGACTGCTCTGGACCGGGCCGGGCCGGGCGTGGTACCTGACACTGATGATGTGGCCCTCCGTCTCCTTCTGCAGGTGCGCCTTCACCACCCAGGCGCCGTGCTCGCGGTAGGTCATCACGCGGCTGCGGCGACACACACACACACGCAAACACACGTCACATGGCCTCTCCGCTGAAACAGGCTGGATGAACCTGAGATCTGGGCATTGCCACTCCAGGCAGAACGCCACCGTAACTGAAACACTTCAGCAGTTGGAGAAAGGACCCTGTGTAGCTACAACTATATACATTAGTGTTTTAACACAGACAAATCTACACACAATATTACACAGAAAGTTAACTGATGAAGTTGCAATGGTTTATTTTTCAAACAATTTGAACTGCCAATAGTATTTATTGCTTGGAGAGAAGCTGTAAGCTACTGCAAAACCTGCACTGCACCATGGCCAACACCAGGGGGAGACTAGAACACACCCATCAGCAGGCTGCAAGGAATTCTGTGCGCCTCTGAAAGCAAACTCCTTTGAACGCTTTGTTCAAGCGTTGCTGAGCCTGTTTCCATGACAACAGCTTCCTAAGCCCCGTTTTGCCTTCAGGAGTGAGAGACCCTCTTGAACTGCGCTTGAGTGAAGTTTCTGTATTTTTTTTTCTAACTCGCAGCTGAACCAGAAAACGAACAGGCAATGTCAACCTGACATCGTGCTGTTTAACCCCTTCAAGGGGACTGTCTGACCTGGAGTTCGTGCAACACACTGGCAAAGCATGTTTTGTTGGTTTGCTGGAAACCTGCAATGCGCTGCTTAGGGAGAGAAGTGATGAACTGTGTCTGTCCATGTGGCCTGGGCCAGTTAGGGTGATCAAAAGCAGTGGAGGCCTCTAGTGGTGGGGAAGGGAGGCACTGCTCCTAAAAACTTTCACATGGGGCTTTGTGAGCCAATCAGACCTTTTCATTTAATAATGATCTATTCCTTTTAATGCTATCAGCCACACAACTGGTATTCGTGCACACAAAAGCCTTTTCTTTGCACTGAAACCTATTTTTATCATGGACATTGAAGTCGCACAGCAGCAAACTTTGGCCTCATTAAGCAACGCCACTAGCTAGGTCACCTTTCCTTCTCTGGAGTGGGGTGAGCCGGAGCTCGGGGTGCTGGGATTAGGGGGCGGCGGTCTCACCACTCATTAGGGGGCATCCTCCTGTCATAGACGCGCACCGAGCCGTCGCCCAGCCCCGCCACTATCAGGGAGCGCTGGGAGTCACACGACAGGCTGGTCACACAGCTATCCGCACCAGTCGGGATGTCCTGTGGGAACAGATGCACGCACGCACACACGCACGCACACACGCACACAAAGGTCAGAAGGCAACAGGGTGCCTGCCGGCTCGGACGCTCTCTGTCCCGCTCTCTTCCCAACACGCCAGCGCAGTCCCTTCTCAAGGCACGCTGGACTACCTGCCTTCAGGCTGCAAGGTCTGTACAAGCAGCAACTTCCTGCGAGCCGAGATTCAGCTCCCTGCTCTGAAAGGCTCACGCTGCGATTACTGGTTTCGCCTGGGACACTCGCCATCGCTCTCAACTACATACGAGTTGAAGGACAGAACGAAATTTGAATCTGATGGCAGTGACCCAGCGGCCTAATGGCTGAATCGTGATCCTCCAGAGCTGGGTTCGGACGTCACCACGTTTGGGATTGTGGAACAAGTGACCAACCATGTAATTCGAGCCAATAACTGGTTTCTTTCAAGAAGGGGATGGACAAGATCCTGGAATCAATTATCTTCTAACTTCCAAATGAGCAATATGGCTTGAACAGCCTCCTTTTATTTGCAGCCTTGCTAAAATAAAATATTAATACAGAGTAACATTGCATATACATTACAAGAGAACACCCTAAGAATTACAAGATGATTCAGAGAAACTGGTAAAATATCTAAAACAGTTAATGGAAATATCTTCAGAGGAGTATTAGAAGCAAGTGCAACTCTGACATTTCACTGCTACACGGGTGCTCTGCCAGTTGCAGGGCAAAGACTGGGGGCTGGTGGTCTCTTCTTTTACCTGGACCTTTGTTTCCCTGTCCGTGTCCCAGATCCGAATAACCCGCACGTCCCCGGAGGTCATCAACAGTCCGGTTTCCTGCTCCCAGTCCACGACCATTCCAGCCCCTGGGGAGAGACAGCCATCACTGCCTGCACACACAGCACGACCGCAAGCACATGGAGTACGTCAGAGGACGGAGGTGAGGTCACTAAGGTACGGTCATTTCTAACTTCTTGGTGGTCAATGATGTCCCATACCCAGCGAAAACTGGCACAAACACAGGGAGAACATGCAAACTGCACTGTACGTGCAGTATGTGCGTCATTCTGTTCTGGATGCAAGAGAAAAGCGCTGGGCCCATTCCAAGCAGGGCATCAATTCCTACTACAAGACTTCAGATATTCTCTTTCATGGAGTGAGAGTCATGCATTTTTCATCTGGCTTAAAACATAAAAGTAGCGCAGAATGCTAAATTAATGATGCTACAGAGAGTCGGTCTTTGGCTTGCGTTCACCAGGAGAGGCTCTTATGAGAGAAAGGCAGTACTTTTCTGTCTTTCCGTCTGCCTCTGAGCCACCAGCATCAGCAAGCTGTGAGGGTGCAGGTGAGCGAACCTCCCGCTTCGCTAGGAAATGGGGTCTCGGCCGAAGGCTCCTGCTTAAGCGAGGATCTCTCAGACGGCAAGGTAATTACAGCCCTCAACACACTGAAAAGACATCAGCTCAATCAGGGAAGCACGGAGACTATTCACACGGAATTATTCCCAAACGGGCAGAGAGACGGTGAATGGAACTGCAGTTCCCTGGAAAAGCCACACTCCTGCCAGTAGGAGGGGGGGCCAGAGTCCTGGTGTCCTCCAAACCACATCCGTCGGCAATCGGACACGCCCCACCCGAGGGAGCTCAACCGCGGGTATGAGATCGGGCCGTCATTGGCCAGCTGCGGCCTGCTTTCCGAGCTCGGACAACTGGGAGAGGCTAACTGGCAATTACAATTTTAAAAATAACTATGGAAAACAAAACAAACACACAAACAAACCATTAAACACTGGCACCTGCTGACTCCCAGCCAGCTGTCTGCTATTCCCCCAGAGATGACGGACACAGAGACAAACCACAACCTTACATCTGCTCTAAAGCTCCTAGCCCTTAGGGCGACAGGTTAAATCCCAAATACAATTTTTTATTTGTATTTCTTTCCAGAAGGAGGAGAGTGGCTTCAGAAGGGACCGAAGACGCTGCTGTGCTACCCCCTTAATGGCCACAGCCAGACTTGTATTCAGGAGGACTGCAGTGCCCAGAAAACGGGGAGTAAGGTAGTCCCTATTTCCAGGTTTAGGAAAGGATTTAAAATAATGTGGATACCGGCTATGTTGACATCCCACCTCGGGCTAGGTTTGGACGCTTGATGGAAGAAAGAATGTGGAAATAAAAAAAACTGGAATCGAACTACACCGAATGACATGCAATACAACCTGGTTGTTCAGCAGTGCACAGTCATTCCACCAGAGGGGACAATGGGTTCTTTTAGAGTTGGGTTTTACGCAGATGATTCGGAGATCCGTTGAGCTCCATTTTGACACAAAGCGAGCATGTGCCTCCCACCCCTGGGATAAAGGACAGGAATCACTACTAACAGCTGGCAGCTCAGGTGCAAGTGACGCTGAGATGCTGCTGGCAGACCCCAGATCCATAAGAGTGAGGCAAGAACAGCGGATGGCCAGAAAGAGCATGAAACGAGTGCGCCTGACAGAGCACGGCAATCAGCGGTGTTTCCTAAACCCACAGGGAGCATCAGCTGACCAGTGGGCTGACGCTCAGTAGTCGACCAGACTGGCTCAGAACCGAGCCAGTGAACGGGTCAGGCACTCTATGAAGCGCGCGCCGTGAGGGCAGCACCATGTCGACAATTTAACCTAAAGCCATACTTGGTTTCCGAGCGGCAGACATCTTTTACAGCTCCCTACTCCAGCGGATAAAACAGAGGAGGCGGATCATTCACAAAGCAAGTGGCCCCGGCTCACAGAGCCATGTTCTGAATGGGAGCAAATGCAGTTCAGAAGCTCTGCAGAGCCCCAGGCAAAGCCTCCCTTTGTTCTGTAGTCATCTGCAGTCTTATTAAAACTAGCAACCTTCACACAGACCAAACCCTGCAGCTGCAGAACCCATGCAACATTCCTGCACATCAGTGGGCGCCTGCGCTCGCCATAACCAGTTGCAGAGTTCAGCTCAAAGAGCCGGATCTGGTAACTGGACAGGAGAGGAGTGTCTTGTGGCTTGAGTTTACAGTCACACACACCAGAGATGGACCCCCCAGCCTGAGTGAGGAGAAAGGTTCCAGTCTTAGTCTCCTGGACTTTCTCTCCATTATTATCGCAACAGTTGGCACTGTTTGCTCAGACCCAGGAACAGGAGCTCACAGCACACTTTGTGTATTGCGCTTAGCCAAAATCAATAAAGAAATGATCAGAAGGGTTTTAGACTCACAGGGCTTTAATGTAACGTTTTGAAAGGCAGCTTCTGAGACGCTATGACGCGAGAGCTGCTGCTACAGAAAGACAGAACCCGGAACGGAAAGGGCGAGGTGTACTGTATTTTACAAAACCATGGATCAAAGCTTTAGACTGCTCTACTGCGGCACAGCCTTCTGATGTTCAATTCTCATTTGTAATCTAACTTTTATTTCTCTCTTTTATTAATGGAAATGCAGATCATGAGGGATTCCCAATTCCAGTCATCAGCTCCTAGGAACATTCCGTCTGAAAGTTTTAAATAGAACGTTAAAGCCGTTCAGTGTCAAATTAACCCAGTTTTTCAGACGCTGGATTAACATGCAAAGGTTGGGAGAAAAGTTTTGCTGTGGTTTTTTTTTAGAGAACCTTAAAATTAAGTGCTTATTTGTAACTGCTGAATAAGGAGAGAAACATAATTCCATCCCAAGACAGGACTGCTGTAGGCCTAAGACAGTCTGTAATGGGTGCATTCTGCTTGCACTTTTTACTGATCCCTGTCCATGGCACTGTTTGACAGAGGAGCACGTGACATGTGGCAGATCAATTCAAAAGGCTGATCTGTAAAAATACCTAAGAAACTTTTGAGACAAAGCCATGAAGAGAAAAGACTAAATACTAACTACCAGATGGGCAAAATCGGTCAAATGGCCTCATCTCTTCTTCCACTTTCATGGTAGTGTTTGCTCAAAGAAGGAATTGCTATCCATCTCCTCTCTAAAAGAAAGCACATCTTGAAATAATGAGAAATAATGAGTGGTGCTGTTTTCCTCTATGCAAAAACCCATTGGGAGATTCCAGCGTTTGCAGCCTCCATAAAGTGTCAGGGCAACAGATTTAGAAAAAGCAACATTTGTCTTACTCTGTTCATTTCACAGATCCAAAGCTTCTTCTAATAAAATTGGGATCGGACAGGAATGGGAACGCAGAAATTGCAAATCGCTGCGGTTCCCAAGTAAAAAGCACCGAAAGAAGCCAAATTGTTTGACACAAGTTTCTCACAAGCTCGCTGGCACGTTCTCCCCCGGCTGCTCGCAGGGAGAGCTCGAAGACAGCGGCCGTCAGGACGGGGAGCAAGACTGCTCCGGAGCAAGACTGCAGCGGAAACACGGAGGCTCTCCGGGGCCCCGAGCGCTTGTGTGTGTCGCAGGCCAGCCGCTTCAACGCCACGCAATCAAGTACCAGACCCTTGCCCCCACCTCCACCTCGGCTCAGCCTGAGTCACGGCACGGCTCAGTCCTTTTCTCTGCACATCACAGGAGGTCGCCACTGGTGCCCAGGTTTGCCCTCCTGCGCCAAGGCCAGGTACACCTTCGCTCCCTCCCTGCTCCTGCTCCTTCCTCCAGAACACCCCCCCGCCCCCCCCGGGGGAGCGATGGAGCTCTCAGCCGAGCCCACGCGGAAATCAATGCTTACCCGCATCGCATCTCCGTACGAATCCCAGATAAACAGCCGGAGAGGGAAAAAGACGCACCGGAAAAAAAAAACTATAAAGAAGAAAAGCGGCGGATCCAAAGGGGTGAAAAGGCAGTGAGAGGAAGGGACAGACTGAGAACAAAAAGATGAAAGAGAAGGGAGACGAGATCGCTCCCCCGCTCCTCGGGCTTCGACTCATGGTGCCAGCGAAGCAGGTGAATGCCCGCGAGCACCTGGCCACCAATTACACAGAAGCGCAGTCGCTCCAGGAGTCGAGAGCCAGCCGTGGGACTTCCTGCCTCCGCAGGCAGACGACGAAACCTGCTTTGCCTCCCTGCCACGCATTACTGCACGCTTAAGAGTCTTCTGGTATTGTTTAAAGGCTTCTAGTAATATATCCGGAGAGGCTCTAAAAACACAGCAGATGAGAACTGGGACACACAGGGAATACCTCCCTGTATGTACACGTCTCGATGTGCTCTGCGCCACTCACACACGATGCGCTCTCCCCTCCACGAGCTCAATGAAAAGGCAGGCCATGTCGCCCAGCTTCATCTCACGCTTGTTTTGAAATCTGTTCATCTAGGATTGGCTGGCACGGACAGGGTTGTGTAGGTTTTACCAACACGCGCTGTATGTTCTTCTGGTCGAACAAGCTGTCTTTTCACAAAACAAACTACTTCCGGCAGAGCTCACACCTCAGGGGCCAGCCTGCAGAGGGGCTCGGAGAAGACTGCACGATGGAAACGCTGCCCATTCTTCCCCCATTAATAATTAGGCATGTATTCCCTTCCTTGGAATGGCAACGATTGCAGCCTGTGCTCTGATGTCACTGTGTCCCGACTGGACAAGGAGAGCTCTCGGCTGGGTTATTACCGTTAACGAATCGGCTGGAATGCAGACGAAGCTTTTTTCTTTCAGGATGTAATTATATATTTTGAGATTTTTTCTCGAATTCATCTTGCTTCACATCAACAGAACAAAATGGATAATATCAGAACACCTGTCCACGTTTCCACCCAGTTTGACCTCTGGGACATCCAGTGCACGACAGGATAGGACACAGTACTCTAAGTGCCCACTGGCCCTCTGACAGCAAGGATCACATGAACACTGTCCAGAGAGGAGAGGACACAGAGTCTGCCAAAGAAACACTGACACTTTTTGAGCTGCTGTGTGACCAGTGACCCAGATGTGGTGCTGTCACTGGGTGAGACTGAGCTCCGGGACACCGTCAAGCAAAAGCACTTAGCACTTTTCAGATCTGGCATTTAGTGAGGTACATCTTTGTGGAGAATAACGGGCAAGAAGAAAGAGACATGATTCCAGCACCACTCCCGAAGCGCGGACTGCAGAGAGAGACGCACATGCTCTTGCAGACAGCAGTCCGATCCTGTGCTCCACGCCTCAGCAGACATGGCTCCTACAAATGTGGACTGGAGGCAGCTTCTACTGCAAACCACGTCTTTTCAGGCCACCAAGCTCTGAATAAAAAACGCTCCTTCCTTCATCGCTCTTGGTAATCAACAATTCAGTAAAAAACTCTTACTCTCACTCCCTTTCGATCCAGTTACTCCATATGGGACTGTCGGTCATGTCACCACGTACTCAGTGGTAACTGACAGGATGGGCTGCCACCCCATCGCCATGCAGTCCCACATGGTGCCGGGCCCTGGACTAGTCTTAGGAGCTACCCAGTGATCCAGTCCCATTAACGAACCTGGTGGGAAGACCATTCTGAATACAACCACAAGCTCAGCAGCCCAGCTCTGAACTTGGAGACGGAAAAATAATTTCTGGCTATGTCCACTGGATCTTTTTTAAGAAACAGTTTTATCCGGTCCTTACCCTATTCTTTAGATGATCCTCAATCCGTACCTATAAAGTATTTGCAGGGCTGTGTGCCTGGGTTTCTCCGGTCCAGTCGGACCTGCTGACTGTTCTGAACACAAGACCTCACAGCAGTGGCATTACCCTCATGAAACTAGTTTCCAGCCCCATTTTTATTACATGCTAACTAGAGCAGGACAGTCTGACTTAGAAACAGGCCAGAGCTGTCCTATTTTTCCCCGACGTGCCAGCAAACAACCAGTTTTGAAAAAAATAATTAAATCAAAAGATAAAAATTAACAAACACAGCAGAGCATATTAATGAGGTGCAGGCTAAACCTGTGTGCACAGAACTGTTTTGTTTAGCTAGAGGGCGTGTTGGACATGACATCTGACACCCCCAGTCTCCTTTCAAACACACCTATGTTTATCAGCAGCAGGTGACCAGGTGACCCCATCAAACTTGCACCACAATACAGTGAAGCAAAGCTGCCCCCAGAGTTTATAACAACTCAGGTCTCCAGTCTCTAATCTTTCAGATCTGGACTTCAACTGTAATCAATTAAGGAGGTGAGTTGTGCCATTAAGCAATTTAGAGATCATTAGGATCCAAAATGGAAGTACTCTTCACCCCTGAATGCCTGAGTTCTCTCCACTGAACAGATCTCTTGCTTAATTCATCAATACTCTTATCATTGTCAATGATATCAAGAACTAACTGGATTTGTGCCAGGGCTGTAGTACCAGGGCTACAGATTCCTGATGTAACTATAACGAGAGAATTAAAGAACTGATGTTAGCGATTCACCTCACTTTCTCCTTTGCAGACGGCAGAAGGCAGGTATACTGTAAGTCTCATTTGGCCACACGAGCCTGGCACAGCAATAGCTGTCTCAGACTTTGTGATGCCCTCTATCACACTCCTGGACCAGAATCTGCATTTCGCATCATCATCATTATTATAATAGTGATTATTTTGTGGCCAATCAACCCTGCTTCAGGGCACAAAATTCTCTCAGAGGTCCAAATTCAGAGAGAAGGAGGAATGCAAGCTCTGTCCACATGTCAGACCATTTAATCAGAAACTGAATCTAATAACTGAAAACTAATAACTTAATTGAAATTGAAAACTAATAACTTATATAAAGAACTCAGCGCAACGTGACCAGTGAGATTAAATGCTGGATTCCTACACGCGATCAAACATCCCGCCTCCTCTCCTGCTCACACACAAGAAAACGCTCGCTGCTTCGCTTGATAAGACTTTCACTGAGTGATGCTGATTAAGCCGTAGTGCTATCAGGAGCGCAGTGCTGTGACCCCACAAACTCCTTCTGTAAACCCAGGCACCAAAAACAAAAAGGTGAAAGCAGAGACAGCGCCTCTTTGAACCCTGAAAAAAGGAAGTGAGACATCCGAGCCGATACCTGATCTGCTCCGGCAGTGAAGCCGGCTTCAGGACCATGGGAGGAAGGGAAGGAGAGGAGGATTATGGGGCAAAGAAGGACTGCCAACAGGGAGATCTGTTCACATCAAAACTCAGGAGGGCCCAGTTTTTTGGTATTAGTGTTGCTGGAGACAGGCAGAGGGAGGAACAGGCAGGGGGACAGGGCGACAGTAAGAGTGAAAGATGGAACCACTCACCTCCCTGCTTACTCCTGTCAAGATAGATTGAAACCCTTCTGGCCAGACCTGCGAGGGGAGGAGCAGACAGCGGGTTCAGCGGATTAGCGTGGGGCCCAGCGCGGCCGCCAGAGACTCCACTGCCACTGGGCAGCACCTCTGTTAGCGAGCACCGCTCTGAGCAAGGCCTTTCCAGGAGCAGAAAGAGCAGTGCAGCACGAGCTGGTTTCTCCAGGGCCAACCCACACGACTTCACCTCTCTACAGCCTCAACCCCTTGAGCCAACCCCAGCCCTAGCCTGGGACTAGCCCTTCCATTGACCTTATCTTCTTTCCAAACCCAGACACCACCACTGGCATAGCTGGCAGGGCTCTGACCTTTGACCCCAACCTTACCCACAGCAAACATTTACAGCGCTGGTCTGCAGTCAACACAGCAGCTGAGCTGAGCTGTCTACCTTCTCCTTCTGCTAACACTGAGGTGTCTGGGGTGTCTAAAATACTGAAACAGCAGAACTCTGTAAATTCAAGGCTGTGGGCCTCAGCAAAAAACAAATCAATGAGAATTAGAAAAGGCTACACCCTACTGCCGCAAGGCTGCACTGCTCTTTTGGAGGAAGAAAAGAAAAAAGCACCAACAAAGGAAAAGCACAGGAGACAAAATAAAGGCTTAACAAAAGGTAAATAATCAGCATGTAGGACCAGACAATGCGCTTGCCACAGGAAACACCAGGCTTGCTGTTAAAGGACAGTCCTCACTCTCGGAGGGGCTGAGTGACGAGGGAGACACAGAGACACCACAGGGATGCAAGTGGCCTGAACACAACACACCCATCGGTGGTTAGGTGGCAGACTGTGTTAATGCTCCCAAACTCTCAAACACGAGCTGTCAAGGCTGGAGGGGGAGAGGTAGAGCTGGGGGCGCGGGGTTCATCCGGACTCCCAGGGAGCTGCAGGAAGGGTCTGAATCTTCGCACGGGTGTCACCAGTTCTCCAGCCCTGGGACCGTCCCCCCGCTGCTGCACTCCCCCCAAACCCCCCTAACTACCACAGGCTTTCAGCCTTTCCCAGCAGCCTGCCACTGACGGTCCTTCTCTCAAGGGTGGCACCTCGGACACACTGACCTAGTATTCTGGCTTACTTTCCAAACACGGTTTCTCGGGTGTGAGATGCTGCCGATTTTGGAACGAGAGGGGGCAACTGGATTGGGAGAATAAGCTCATTACGGCACAGCCCCCTGAGGTGGGCAGAGATCTGTAAAGCCGAGAGCCTGTATGCATTTCTGCTCCAGCTTCCTTAGCCCTGTCTCGACGGCTGCCCCAGCTCTTCATTTTTAAACGGAACGCCCAACGCCATGGGCTCTCTTGATAGCTCCCCTGAAGCCTTAACACAAGACATAGATTATGAACACCATAACCGGACTGAAGAACTTCAGCCCAACTTGGCGCAGAGGATAGGAGTCTGTGTTGAAAGGCATGCACCAACTACGTGCGAGATAAAAAATACATCCTACACAGCTTAAAACGTGTCAATCCTCGTTTGTGCTGGCTGCCAGCAGAGCCTGACTTTAAAATACTCGTTTGTTACATTATTCAATTTCATGGGGAGCCCGTCGTAACAGCTCCTTCATTTACAAATGCACATTCGTCTTTTGGCTTTAATTACCAGAGTTATTCTCCTAATGACATCCCTCAGATGTCTGTTGTTTTCAATCTGCCTTCCACCTCCTCTTCCCCCAGCTCTCTGTCGCCTGTCACTGTCTGGTTCCAGGCACCCAGGGGAGCAGAGAGAGGGGACTGCGCAGATCTCTGCACCCCGACACCCGAACTCTGCTGTGGGGAGCAGGAGGTGGTGGTGGCGGAGGGGCTTGCTGTAGCTGGGGCACGTGCATCGCTTCATCAGCTTCAGCACAATAGCAGCCATTTTTCCCCCCCAATTTATCATGCATTTTGATTCTTTAAGTAGTGTCAGCTCTTCTGCTTCACTTTAATGAGACATATGGCAAGATTTTCTCTTTTTGTTTCTACAATCTAAGTCATCCCCTGAAATATATTAAACATTTCTCTGCTATCATTTCACGAATGTTTAATGCTAAGCAGTTACACGTTAAGCCTTTGCAAATGTTCCCTGCAATCTCAAATTGCAGCACACTCCTTGGAAGATCTCGTTACACATTGGAGGACGCAGCTTCAAAAAAGCCCCAAATAAAACAAAAAGAGAAATGAAAGCATCCTCACCAGGACTGACACACCTGTGCAATTTTTGCTCTTCTTTCACTGGTTAAAAAAATGGACTAAAAAAAGTTATTCAATTCTCTTCACTTTCAGGCATGGGGAAGATTACATAAATCATCAGATGTCTAGCAGGCATTCATAGGTTTAATGCCCAGAATTGGAAATATATACCAAGAATGCTTGCTAAAAAATGCTAAAAAATAAGCAACTTAAATGAAGCATGATTGTGTTTTACTTCAGTCTACCAGAAATCTGAAAGTTTGATTCTGAAGCAGGGATTGAGGTGGTTGGAGAGCAGAACGAGGTGAATAGGACTGGGAAGGATTCCCTGCAAGCCAGAGAAGGGATGGTGGTTATTGGCTGGGAAGGCGGGGGGCAGGGACAAGGAAATGGCCAGGGTCAGAGAAATGCGGGGGTGGGGGGTGGGGGCTGACCTCGTGTGGTGGGCAGCATGTCGGACAGGCCCTGCCACGCCGTCACCATCTCCGGGTTCCTCTCCAGGTCAGCGAAATTCTTCCAGATCCGGAGCGCCCCATCGTCTGAAGGCAGAGGGAGGGAGTGGGTACAGGACAGCGCACTAGGGAGACGACTTCTTTCAGCTCCCTACATGCCCACCTGTCCGAGAGCAACTGTAGGCCCCACACCGACTCCGCCGGCCCTGCTGACTGCTGAGCTGCTCTGCAACCTGGCTGTGCCTTTTTCCAGCTCCAGTGGGCGACTCACCACTCCGCACTTGTCTTTCATGGGTTCAGCACAAATACGCTAATGAGCTCCAGGCACCCCTTGCTCTTGGGAATCGTATAGGCCTTGTGCCGTTTTCAAATAGCGAGAAATCTCTGCTCAAAGGCAGGCTCTGGGGCTGAATCAGGGTCTGATTCACAGGGTGTGCGACAATGCACAGGAAACAGATTGCAGCTGGTACAGCAGAGCAGCACAAAACCCAGAGTCAGAGAGCAGCTGACTTGTGAAGGTAAGATAACTCCTCAACAGGCAGCTTTAGTGGTCAACTGAAGCCTTGTCTATGTTTGCATCTTCACCAAGACAAGGCCTTGCTGTCAATCTCCTCTCCCATGTCTGAAAGCACTCTGTCTGCTCATTCACACTCTTCAGCTCTGGGTGTCTGGCTATTTTAACACTGACTCTGTTCTGTAAATGTCTTTTCCTCCACAAAAAAAAGACAAATTTCACTTTCACTTCACATATCGATGTAGAACAAAATCCCTTGAATGTCTGCAGAAGTAGATATTAATAGTACTGCAGGTGACCTGTTGATACAGCCCTTCGCCACAGGGTGAAAGGTCACTGGGCCAATCTTGGCCTTCCATTTCTCATCTGTGATCTATCAGCTCCACTCTCTTCTGCCTCTCTGTGAGTGCTTTACCTGTGGCAGTGAGAAGCAGAGAGCAGTCATGTCCATTCAAGTATTCCACAGCCGTGATGCGTGTGTAGCGAGGATTCCCGTTGTAGAAGTAGTCCAGCTTCTCTCCCTTCTCCCAGTCCCAGAAACTGAGGGGAGGGAACCAGAGTGAGCACTGAGGTTTTGGGGAGTTCCACTTCAACACTGCCCCCACCCTCTGACTGTTCCTTCGATTCAAAGACTAAGCTCTCAAGGTTAAAGGCACCTGCTCTAGGTGCTCATTCGTTTGCCAGTTTGATTAATTAACCGAACAATTAACCACTTAAAAAGGGGGCATTTTTCACCTTTCTGGGGGATTATGAAAAAGTAAAGCTAGGACACTGACAGCAGGGCAGCAGGGAGGCCAGGCCCCATCTTAGGTGAGTTCTCAATGATGACCTGACCGGCTTAAACTAGCACCGCGTCTTCAGCTGCGGATGTCAGGTTGCCCACGACGCCTGCGGGGCTGCAGCTCTCCAAGCGCGGGAGAGAGGATCACAGACGCCGAGTATCAGCTTTCCCGGCTGCCTGCTCACACCTGAGCCGCCCAGGTGATGTCGGGATAGTTGTATACCAGTTTACTGAAACCCTGTTGACAGAATAAGCGTACCAGCTTCTGTCTCAAAAGGTGAGGCATGGGGAGGAGAAGGAACCTCCCCACAGGAATGAGAACTGCTCTCGCCAAGGCACTGCCCGCAGAGGATGCTGGGAGCGTCCTTCCACCGCCTTAGCGCGAGGCCTTCTGGAAAATCCATCCGCGAGGCCTTCTGGAATTGTAGCGTCACAATAGACTAATCTCGTTAGGCCACAGCCTGCCCGGAGCTTCCCAGCATTCAGAGCGCCTTCTAGCCACAATCTAATTGCGTGCGTTAATGCTGGGAACCATTAACGAGGCCTGTATGGGTTGCTTGTGCCCCATGTGTTAACTTGGAAGAGAGCTATAGGAAAACTCTACCACCACTGCATTGGAATAACCCACTGTGAGAGTATTCGAAAAGATACGTGCTCCTGCTCTTGACCACCTGCCCCCGCTCCGCTGTGCAAACGTCTCCTCTCCTCCCCTCCCTCACCAGATGCTGTCTTTGTCCGCCACGGCGATGCAGGGGTTGAAGGGGTGGAACTTCACCACAGAGGGCACCCCCGGGTTCCGGTTGATGAAGATCTGGTCATCCAGCCGGGTCACACCTACGAGGCGGTGGGGGGGAGAGAGAGAGAGAGAGAGAGAGAGAGAGAGAGAGAGAGAGAGAGAGAGAGA